CACACACACACAAACAGACACACTTTAGGGCAATGTCAGACAGGGAGAAGATCTGAGATGCTCCATATCAAGCGCTCACTGAACACAACATAACACACCAGCCAACAATACTCTTTGGTCCAGGACAAAATGTGTGACTGTGTTGTGTTCTTCCCCCACGTTGACTTGTGATAATATGGCCATCTGGACTGCTTCCTGGGTTGGCACCCTGCTGGTCTACAGGCAGAGCAACACTCTGGTGGGCTGACAGGCAGGGGGACTGGCTGGAGGGTGTTAGCACTGGCGTTGTCCACAAGAGGGCGTGGCACTGAATCTGGCACTACCATTACAGTGTTAAACAGGGAGTCTGTTCATTAGGTGGAGAGAGAGGGAGAGCCAAAAAACAGAAAGAAAGAGAAAGAGTAGTGAGATGTTATACATTCTGGGCTTTTTCTGTGTAATTTCTATTTCTAGTATATCTTATATCAACCCCTCCTGCTCTGGACACTCATTCCTTAATCCGCCCATTTTACATAAACACTGAGAATGAGGCTTTTAGTCATGTCAACACTCAGATAACTGTTGCAGAGGGCACAATCAAACCAAGAACATCTGGCCTCTTTCTCTCTCACACACTAACACAGACTTTCATTCAAACACACATATTAAATGTAAACAGACGCGCACACACACTCACATGTAAGGGCCAAACCAGGGTTCTGTACTCCCTCTGTCTCATTGCGTTTTAGTTTCAAACGCTCAGCGAATACCCATGTGGTGGGATCGGATTACACGGGGCTATAAAATATCCCAAATAAAGGCAAGGAAAACCGAGACGAAAAAACGGGCTGTTTCCTGAGGTGAAATCCTTTAGTTGGCTGCTGATTCTGTTAGAGTGGGAGATTTTTTAAAAGACTTTTAGCAGTGGAGACAATAGAACTGGACAGCAATGTTCGGCTTAGAACACAGAGGTGGCAAGCTAAAGTCATTCACATAAGGCAGCCAGCTCCCATTACATCGCAAGGCCATAAATCCATCTGCACGACACAAGCAGCATGCTGTGATTTCATATGTATTGGTTACTAAGGGGACGCATGAAACCACAACAAAAGACAAAGAGCAAAGTGGGAACTCATTTAGAGAAAGGGAATCATTTAACTTGTACACAAAACATCTGGGGTTTAAGATAAAGGTTTATGTTATCAACAACCATCATTTTAAAACATAATTATTAATCTGACCCATGGCCTTGGAGAGAAAATGGAGAGAAAAGCAGGCCAGTTGAAATCTAAACCATCTCTGTAATATCAGTAGATTAATCACAGGACATACAGTAAAATGGTAACATGATCTCATTATGGCGAGATACCAACGGGTGAGGGCGACGGGTGGTGGTAACAGCCATTTTGACTACCAATCAGGCAAGTGACATCAATGGGCCCTTTGATTGGTCCAAAGTAAGGAGGGATTTTCTGCTGTATTCTAACAACAACATCTGGTTGGCCAGGGAAACGGTGGTGAGTGAGGAGAAGGAAAAGGCTTGAAAGGGGAAAGGAGAGTTTTTAAAGTCATACATGGGAGAGAGACGCCAGAACAGGGTGTCATTATGACATGCGTAATCGGAGCGCTCTGGTTCTGCCCCTGTGTTTTCTAGTGAAGCCCCAGAGCTCTATCACAGCTGAGGGCTGGCTCTCATATTTACAGCGCCTTGTAGTCTGCCTGACAATCACCTCTGTCTCTACAGCGACCTCAGAAAGATGTCTGCACTGCCTCCTTGTTCTGCAAGGAGCAACAGTTTGACTTTGGAGTCACAATTAGTCAACCTCACTTGATCTGTCTCTCTGTCTGGGGTGTCAGGTTGGACAGACCATCCCATAACCTCAAGGTCATGGTTTTGATTTAGCAGCAGCCATCTGTCCTTGTCAAGACATTGACCCTGCTACCTTCTCATACATTGCAAACTGCTCTGGATAAAGGCATCAGCTAATTGGTTAAAATGTAAAAAATCTCCCCATCCCACTAAAACAGACATGCACTCACATATCTTGGCAAAACTGAGCCTACAAAACAGGCTGCCATGCAAACAAAGCATTGTGACTGTCAGGTTGTGGTCAAGTGATCGCCTTTCAAAGTGACTCTCACTGCCTGTGCCCTCCACATCCTTCCCCTGTTGTAACATAAGACCCCAGAGGAGTGCCAGGTTACTGGGATTCTCTCTCTTCGGCGCCATGCTGTTTAGTGACCACGCGCATACTATAAGACCTGTGATTAAGCTTGCTATATGTATGTGTGAATGTGTGTATGAACACATTTTCCGATTCCTAATCAAATGGCATTTAAAAATAATTGCTGGTTTTTAATTTAACCAACACAGATCCACATGGGTGGGTTTGCCACACAGAACAATGCAGTGGGATTTAGAAAGGTTATGCAACTAAGCAGTCAGTATCCTGACACCTGACAATCTCTAAAATGCTGTAAATCCCACCTACAGACTGCTTGTAGCATGTCTTCATATGAGTAAGATAATGAGGTACAGTAGTCTCTCCCTTCTTCCAATGTGCAGCTCAGTAATATCAGAAAGAACAGCAAGTGAAAGTAATGTTGTCTTTACTGCCTCGCCTTATAGTAGAATCTCTCACCTCCATCCTCTACTTATTCTGATCACGGATTCGTAGGCATCGCCTCTTCAGAGCTGGCTCCATGTCTCCAGCACTGGGCATATTAGCAGGGCTCCGCAGGCTACCCTTGTCCCTGAGTTTGGGCAAGAGCAGCGGGGTGGTGGTCCCAGCTGTCTTTGGCGCTGTGGGCAGGGCATAGGCATGGTCCTCATCAGGAACATGGGGGTCCTCTCCTACCTCCCCGACTACTGCTAAGGGCTCTTCTGAGTGACTGACTGGGCCCTCAACCTGCACTGGGCCAACAACAGAACACTTGTTCTCTTTGATAGCCTCCAGCTCACTGAGTGCAGGGTCAGGGGGTGGTGCTGGTACTCTCTGGGGTAAGGAGGAGTCCGGACTAGCGGGTGTGGATGAGGAGGTCATGCCATTTGGACTGTGGTCCTGGGATGTCAGGGCAGAGGACGTGGCATCATATGGATGGCTGCTCCCTGTGGGGCTGGATGGGGTGTGTGAAGGTGGAGTGTGGGAGTCCTGGTGGTGGCAGACAGTGTCATGTGAAGGGGACTGTGGTAGAGGAGGGGTGGGTCTTATGACGTCATGGAGCCCTGATTTGGTACCCTGACCTGTTCCTGACTCACCCAGCCCTGATAGGTCCACCACTCCATTTGCAGTGGGCCCCAGCTTCACCTGGGTCCTTTGAAGAACCCTTTGGATGACTTGTCGCTCTGACTGCTGCTGCTTATAATCTGCCAGCCCCTCCGACTCTGAGGCTGAGCAGGGGGATTCATTGTACTGTGCTCTTGGAGAGGATGCTCCACTGTGGGGTGTGGATGTTGGGGAAGGGAATGGCCTCTCTGCTTTAACCCAATCTATGTCCCTTATGTTGGGGTCACTTGGTGAGGGGAGAGCTTGAGTCAAAATTCCACCCAATTTGTTGGCTACCAATCTGCTGTCCCCTTCAGGGATCCCTGGAGATGGTGGCCTGGTAGCCCTGGATCTACTCCTGTCTGCCCCCTCTGGCACAAGCTGGATAACACCACTGTGACTTGGAGTTTCTAGGGTTGCCTTAGAAGGGACTGGAATGGGGATAGGAATCGGTATGGGGACAGGTAGGGGAACAATGATGGGATAAGGCACCAGGACAGTGGGGTGGGGCAGAAGTGGGCTAAAGGAAGGAATACCAAAGTTCATCATGGGAGGCATTGGAACAGGACCTCTTGGCATCATATTCAGAGGAGGAGAGTGCAAGCCGGGGAAGTAGGCTCCTGGGAAGGGATGCATCATCCCAGGGGGATTCATGGAAGAGGAGGTTGGGGGCTGCAGGTGAGGAGAGTGAGGAGGTCTGTGGATAGGGCTGGAAGGGGGGCCTGGGTGTCTAGGTGGGTTGGCAAGGGGGCTTTTCAGGCCCTGAGCATGAAGAGGAGGTCTGATGAAGGGCATGTGGATTTGAGGTACCGGCTGATGTTCCAGAGTGGGACGAGGAGGGGGTGGAGGATGATGGGGGGCAGAGTGAGGTGACACCTCCACAGCAGAGGGATGTTGAGTCTGGATGGGTCTCTCCAGTGTCCTCAGCCCAGAGACAGGGACCTTGGAATTAGAAGAGGTGGCCTCTGAGGAGGAGATAGAGGTGGATTCTGCTGATCCATGGATTGGCGTAGGCCCTTTAGGGGAAAGGTTTCTATGACGAGCTTCTCCTGCACTGCTGCTGCTGTTCCAAGACTCAGGAGTGAGTAGCTTTTGTCCAGCCATAATGTTGTCCGGCCTCCCTTCTGGACTAGGTCTGCTTGGGCTGGAGCTGGTGAGAGCTGCGCGGGCTTCTCGGTAGAAAACATCCATCTTGTACTGATTCAGACACTTGGTGCTGCAGAACTGGAGTCGTTCCTCGCCAGAACCGAAGTCCAGGTATTCTTTAGTGTGACGGACATGCTTGCACCAATCACATACCTGTGGTACAGGGGAGAGAGACTGTGGGGGGTTATTGAAGTGATGGATCCTAGCTAAAAACTTTTTCTATACAAATATACAGTAATGGGAGACAGTTTGACTTCCTGCCAACCTCTGAATCTAAGAAGAATGCACGCTACATGTGTATAAAGCTGTTGCTTGTAATTTTGTAACGTATTCATAATAATACTTTACATTGGAAAAACAAAAGATGCATTGATAGTGTCCTCTTACTCTGACATTGCTGTTTATCTTCAACACCAGTCTGGGCGAGTCCTCTGTATGGGTGTGCTGAGGCGATCTCTCACCATGGCCGTCTTCATCTCTGGCCTGACAGGGGAAAACCACAGAGACATGACATGAAGCAGTTTGTCAGACCTGAGTTCATGCTACTTTTGATGGATTCATTCTTCAATTCATGATGATGTTGGTGCAGTTGCTTTAAATCAAAATGCTATACTGGAATCCTTCTGTGGTCATTAATCCAAATTTGAGCTTCTTACATAACAAGAGCAAAAAATAGTTTCAAATGAACTGCCTTGTCATCAAGTTTAGAAGCAGTTTGAACTTTATGCAGGGCACCAAACCCTAAAGGTCAGTACAACAAAGGGAAATCACTGTGTTGTGAAACTGATACAATTCCGCAACTGCATACAGAGATAATGCAGGTGATGTATTGTCATATTATTAATGGCCTTGCCAGTATTAATATAGGAAATTCCTTTTGATTCATGTAAGCTGATCGGCTGTGGATCTGAGTGCTCCCCCATCTCTGTGACCCATTGAGTCGTGTTGAGTTACGAAACATGAGGCAGCTGAAGGTAAGGTATGCACTGAAAGTGGACACCTCGCCCCAGGCCTCCTGGCTTTCCTCTCAGACAAGCAGTGACAAGCCAACGGCAATGCTTTCCTCCCCACCTCCGAAAAACTAGAGGGCTTGTTGCACACAAAGTCTGTTCAGCCCTCCTTTTTGTCTGTTGACGTGTGAATAAACCTACCATAGTATAAACAACAGTGAGGGTGAAAGGTGATATAGCTGCTTGTCACACTGCACCTCTAAAGAGGGTATATCCATGTTGTAATGGAAGGTGAAAAATCATGGCGATGTGCATCAGAGCGGTTCGCCATAGTTGCAGCTTTCCTGTCCTCCAGACCAAAGCCACTTAATGGCCGGCCCCTCCTCCATTAACACGAAACTGATACTAAGTGTCCTCTGCAAACTTTGACCTCCCTCCCACCATTCCTATACTGGTTCCTCCATAATAACTAGAAAGTGTGTTCTCAGAGATCCCCCCTTTCTAAATTCCTGTAAATTAATCCATCAGTTATGACCTCACAAGATCTGGAGTATCTGTTTCTGAAGGTCTGTTTACCTGCCAGAAACCACTTGATGCCTGGGTCTCCCGTGTATTGAGACTGACACAGCTGGCACAAACTGTTCATATACCTTCAGTACCTGTATGTGTGTCTACTATCTACTGAACTCACACATTCAAAAATATAACAACTAATTTCAGGGTTTCTGCAGGTTTCATCAGGTTACATTTAAGCCTTTTTAGAATTATTATGAGTACAATAAGTAATATCAAGACCTGTCAAAATCATATTGAAGATATGGCCCAGAGATGCCCTGAAACTACAGATAATGAATTACCATAAAGATCAGGATTTCCAACATCTCACCAACAAAGGGACAAACCACAACTTTTTAAATTTTTAGCACCGGCCACAGTGATCCTAATATGTATTGTGCATTTTACCACTAACCTTATTGCGTTTGAAGTAGGCCCGTCTGCAGGCTGCAAAACACTTTTCACTGCAGAAGCTCTTGAGCTCTGAACCCATACACAGAGAGTAGCGTTTTACCCCTTCCTTCTGACACCAAACACACACTATCTGCACGTTCTGTACATCTTCCACTGCAGGGGAAAAGCAAAAAAAGAGTTAGAAGACAATTAATGAGCGCAGTTTAAAAAAGTATTACTACACAGCTTTGCTAAAACAACTCCAAAAGAGGTGTATGTGTATATTAGAAGTCTTTACCTACCAATATCTGTGAACAGCTAAAACTAATGCCAGGTTCAGACTACACAATATCATCGTCTGTTGTTTTATATAGTCATAAACTCTTGCTGTGACTTGGCCGAGAGACATTATCGACTACACGTTGGTCCCTGACTAATCATTGCTTGCTGTCTTTCACGATTTGCGTGATGTCAATGGGAAGGAGGTGCGAGGAACTGACATCTGAGAAGGACAATGTATACAAACAGTGGCAGTGTCTGTAATACTGGCTGTCTTGTGTTCAGGCTTTAAAAAGCCTTAAAAAAACGACGATGACCTTTCCTTTGTTTCACAGTTCCCTCTTGCAGCACCAATAACGTTAATCCTCTTTGCTTCGCCATGTTTACAGCTGTGCACAGAAGAATGCTCTGTGCTCTTACTGGTCAACATTTGGGACACGTGTAAGGAAAACATTTATAACATGCTAGACTTTCTGTTGATGCAGATGCTGCGTCGATTGTCACTCACAAAGACAAACTACACAAGATCATTCCGGATCATGATCATTCCCGACTCCACCCTATGCCCTACATCCGCCGGATCAGGCTATAATTTTGCTCATGTTGCGTAGTCTGAACCTGGCAAGACTGTGTAATTATTCAATCTCACCAGAACTCCAGAGACATGACTTGTGCTCTTTTTGACCAGAAAAACTGATCCTTCAGCCAATTATCTGACCAAGAATATCTTTGAATACTGTCAGTATGTTACAGAATCATGGGACCTTAGCTCACAGCTGGAGGGGCTCCAAAGCGTCCAGTGGGATGTACCCTACTCTGAATTAATTAAAGAAGTCTTGGGGCAGTATTCTTTTAGGGAGCCCAGACATTGTGCTGCACCCTTGTTATTTCTTATTTTCTGCACCACTTGAGCAGTGAGAAAGATTTTCGTCTTATGTTTGAAGGTTTTTACATCAATATTGTAAGTAAAGATTTAAAAGGGCTACAGTTCTTGCCCTGTATGTACAGTACACAAGGTGCATGTATATCAAGGTAAGGCTATTGAGCATCAACATCAACTTGTTGAGATTAACGTAGCTGAGTTTATTGAATATAATAATACTTATATTTAACAGTATAAACCTGGAAGGAGATTGCTGAAACTCATATTTACGTTTAAGTCATGAGTTAAGTGTGAAGGCAGCAAGACTATACGTTTAAATCATATCTTTGAATCTGTAGTCCCATAGCTCACTACCTGCTGATGGCTTTATAAGGGGGACAATGACAGGGGCACTCTTGTGCTCTTTGGGTGTGGTCAGGGATGAACTTGTTGAGGAAGAGGAGGGTGAAGAGGAGGGGACACTGGAGGACTCTCTCTCTCCACTCTTCATGGTGAGGACTGAATGACCAACTTTGGTGTCCAGACTCTTGGGTTTTGGCAACGAGTTTTCTGAAACACATAAACGTAATATAATGCTAATGACTCAGAGGTTTCGTGTAATACAATAGCAATAATCCACAGTATGGCTTAAATGATACTGTAATAACTTTTGCACCCGTAACAATGCCCTACACTGATGTTTGGTACAAACGTGTTGAGAAACAATAGATGTATTTGAATGAATGAAACGTGAGAAGTTGCAACTACAGGAGAGTATGTCTAGAAAAAACAGTGACTCAATGTCTGCACTGAAACCTGCAGAACCTGTTAATGTAAACTCAAGAAGACCCTGTTCTAGCGGTGAACTGTCGACACCTGCCCTCACCTTTTAGCACAGACACATGCTGACGCCTTTCTCTGTAGTTTCTGATCTCGTTGGCCTCCGAGTCTCTGAGATCTACCTTGTCGTAGCCGTACCATCCCAGCAGCTCGTTCATAGTGCTTTCTGCAAACGTCTGCATGAGAAAAAGAGGAAAAGAAATCACTGATGAACCTTCTATGTAAAGGGATAGGGTAACTGAGCCATAGCCTGCCTGCAAATGGGAAATTGTGACCATACATCTTAGGGTTGTTAGTGGAACTTTTTATCCTATGTTAAACATAATCAGACCTTCCTACGCTGAATCAATGCAAGGGATTCTTTCTCAGCCCCAGCCTTGCTGGAGAAATGAATACGGGCACAGTGGAGTACAGTATGACGCTTTTTCCATGATGTATTCAAGTTGTTTACTCTTACTAAATCTGAGACGGAAAGGTTTAAAACCTAACACCAGTGTGAAATCTATGAATCATCCTTTGTTTATCTCTTTTAATTGGAAAAAAGAGGGAGAAAAGAAAACTGTTCTCCGCAGATGGGATGTGTGGTCCCTTTTTTTTTTATTACGACCAGATGAAAAAAAAAACACAAAGGTCTCTCTCTTTATCCACCCACCTCTCTCTGTGGCTTTGGGAGAACCGGATTGGAGGAGAAACCTGATCCGGAACGGGCAGAAATCAGAGCGGGACACCCTACACCACAGCGAGGTCCCACGGTTCTCGGAAATGCCCCACTCCTCTCCCTTCTTCTCTTTCCAATGTCCACCACTCTCTCTCTCTTTCCCCAGCTTCCCCGTCCCTCCCCTTGTCTCTCACCCCCCCCCTCAACCTCCCATCTTCACAATCCTCCCCTCCACCCCAGCACCTTCCAGCCCTGACACCCGACACAGCGCTGCCTCTCAGGTTTCACCCTTTTCCAGCACAGCCAGCCTGCTGTGGTGGTGTTGTAGCGCTGTAGTACTGACTGCACATTCTTTCCCCTGCTTTCCTCACTCCGACCTCTGCTCTGCACTAGGGCCTCAAAGAAATGGATCTCTCCCTTGCTTGCTCACTTTTCTGCTGTGTGTGTGTGTCTGGGAGAGTGTGTGGGTGAGTGCAAGCAGTGGTATCATATCCAGCTAAATATGCCTAACGATGATTAAAGTTAAGTATCCGGTGTCTGGTGCTGCGCTTGGGGCTGACGTGGAGGGAGTAGGTCCGAATGTGGTGTTGAAACAGATGTATTACAGAGACAACACCAGGCTGGACCTCAGCTGAACTAGAAATCAGTTTGTCTGCCTGCCTTCCTGAATGTCCTTTTTTTTTTCTCACTGTCTTTCTTGCCCCTTTCATCACTGGACTCATCCTAGAGGTGCACATGTCTAGGAATAAGTCTTGTATGTTTCACATCACGTCCAACTTGGGTGTACAAGAGGACTACATTGATGGCAACTCTCCTATATGCATACAATTCAGTTTCATTTAGAGTTTCTGTTTTCTTGTTAATGAAAGACGGGCAATTTTTTTTTTTTTTTTCACCCAGCCCTCCACTTCCCACAATGTTGTTTTTGTTTCTTTTTGGCAGTTCAGACAAACATCTGCTTTGTGAGAGTGACAAGCCATATCCCAAACCACAGAGAGAGTTGCAGCCAAAGGCAACAAACCGGGGCCGACCCTGAGATTCAGCCCAGGCAGGCTCACATCAAGCGGGGATAGCATTTCACATGTTTTGATTAAAATTAGTTAAGTTGTAACACTACACCTCCCCTGGATATCAAGCGCTACAATCCAAACCACTTACACAAAAAGACCACATTTCCTCTCTCACGAAAAAGCCAGAATATCCTCCCCCCCCAAAAAAAAAAAACTGCTTGTCTTTTTAGATTTCTGAGCTCCTGCTTGAAGGAGGTTCGGATATCCCTTAACCACCACAGCCAACACTCTCAGATAGCCAGTGTCCAAACCCAAACAAAGCAGACAATCCATGGATTAGTTTCCATGCAGTAAGAAGCTCATAATGGTGGAAGGGGAATCATGTCTGTTACTGTGATTTAACTTCTTATTGCCTGTGCAGTGACTGTCCTTTAAGCACCAGAGGAGAGATTGTTAAAGGACATGCCCGACTGAGCGTTATCTTTGAATAGGAGCTTTAGTTTGATGTGCATCCTTTAAAATTGTGTGATTTTTATTATTCATTTTTGCCATTGTAAGGCTGAGGTTGGCTATTTAAAGGATATAAATACCCTGTCTCTCTTGGAAGGCATGAGGGCAAGCCTCTGTGGTACAACAAGTGTGCGCACCGCAAGAGCGGGGAAGAAGTGACGCACATCTGGATCTCCGCTGGACATTAGCGTCCGGCCACAGCTGGCCTGACATGGCGTCACCAGAAAGGCGAAGGCAAACCTACTCTTCCTCACTTCTTCACATCATATAACCAAAAACGTCAATGCATCAATGTGTGTGACATTTCTGAGTTTACATGTAGTTATTATGATTTATTGTCTTCTAAGGGGAGCAGACTTTGAAGTTCTCGGTGTTTTTTTTTTTTTTTCTAAGTCTGCAACAAAAAGTGTGTCCATGAAGTAGGATTGTTTACATAAAGACACAAGGGGAGCATTCATGGACAACAAACAGAGTATGTGTGTGATTATTCCCAGCATTGATTTGTGCGCAGTTGCCCGTGAGTAGGAGGACGGTGTGTGCGCACAGAAGTTATCGCTCGGTCAATAACGCGTCTCATTGGATACAAAAACTAATGTGGCAGAGGTAAAACTCACTCTCACCTTCATCTCCTGGTTGATCTCCCTCTTTACGGGGTGCGCAGGTTTCCTGCTGCGTTTATTTTCCGGTGGTCTCCCTTTCTCCATCTCTGGCATAGTCCTGGTTCGGGCTGGATCCGATCCGGATCAGTGTTGAGTGTCAGCTGGAGGTTTTTTTTAGTGGAGTAGCTTAGAGTGAAAGCTGTCACTCCCGTTGACAGCGGCTGTCATTCCCGGACGTCTGAGACCCTCATCTGGGGCTTCACACCATTCGAGTCCACTGAACATGCGTGCGCTCCGGGCTAGAGGCTCCGCCGCTCCGAACAATCACCACTCTCTCTTCTCCACCACCGTCAAGTGTCTGCCGGTAACAACGATGCAGCTTCCGGTTGGGACTTTCAAAGTAAACACTTAATGGTGACCTAAAGTAACGTGATTTTTTTTTTTAGAATTAGTACCAAAGTTAACAAATCAGCAGCTTAATTGTGGAGCTTTGATTTCAGTATGAAACACAAAGGAATTAACATAAAGTTTGTTAATGTGACACTCATATCGAATAATATCAGTTGAATTCCAATTAAATGAAACTTTAACAGCCTTGTCTTTCGCCACAAACCAGATCAAAACTAGTCACTAAAAGGTTTCTAAACTTTACTAACTTTTATATTGTATATTATAACATCTGTAGTCATGCAAAAACTAACAAAAAACTAAAATTTAAAAACATATTTGAGGAAATACCAGACACAATAAAACCTTGCCCTTTAAGATGTATACGCTCTGTTCAAACACTTATTAAATGCACAATTTCTTCTGTTAGTATTACTGACAACCTTGTAAGCTACACAATGAAATATATATCTTCCAAATAAAAATGAGCTCTCTTTGTGTATGAATAAAGTTTGTTGTTCTGTCGTTGTGCTTTTTGCGCAACACATTTTCCGCTTTTATTATGAAAGCAGAGTCGCCTGGCTTTCTGTCTAATTCGTGCTCTTTATGGGTGTCTTGACGCTATGCTCTCCGGATGGGGAAGGGAGGGCCCTCTGAGTTAATGTAACCCAACACCTGGCGCCCACCCCTCCCAAATCTCAACAGATACATTTCATAAGGAATGCAAAGACTGTGTTTTATCTAAGGGGACACAGTACAAACACTGTACAAATACTCTTGTCTTAAAATAAAGAGATGAAGAGAGCGCGGTGAGTTAAATGATACCATGGCAGAACGTATGGGGCTTTCTCAAAAAGGCATCTGTTTGATCAGTGTGTGTGTGTGAGATTGAGTGTGTGTGTGCGCACTGCACAAAAAAACACCTGAAATGTTCACATTTGGCCCTTGAGCCACCGTACCATATGCCCGAGGGCAGGATTTACATTCACAATGAGTGTGTGTCCTGTGCCTGTGCGCAAACAAGGGCTTCGATAAACATTTGTCCCATGGTTATTCTTGATGGTAAAGGCCAAAGGATTTATTACAATATCATGTTTCCAGGCTAGTGATGAAAACATGGAGATGATCAAGTTGCATTCAACACACATCAGTGTTATTTTAGATAAGTTGCACAACTTGATTTTACTATTTTACACTCCTATGTATATTAAATTATATTATACTCCAAATTCTAACATTAGCATCAGGTTAATAATCCTACTTATTGTGGTGAATTTAAGTGATAAAGTTGGGCATGTCATTACCAATCAGTCCCTTATGTGGAACTTTCACTTGGTCACTAAAACCCCATGCAGAGAGACAGACAGGTAGACAGACAGGCGGGACGGGAGGGCTGTTTCAGAACCTTTCTCCTCTCTGTCTCCAGCCGTCCTCGGTCTGCTCTGGTTGGAGGAATCCAGGGACCAGGCTCGTGTAAACAGAAATCCGATCCAGTGCGCAGGGCTTGGGTTTCGCCCCCTCGTACACCCGCTGATGATACCCGATCCGGTCCGGCTTTGGGAACAGGGCTTATCTGATGCCTCACAAAAGGCCCCTCTCTCCGGCTCTCCATAACAGCGCACATCTGGTGCCTCTGCAGGGAGCGCTGTCCCTTTAGGTTCCTCTGGGGGGTGAAAGCGGGGATAAGACCGTCTCACAATTCCCTCAGAAATCCACTTACACAAATGATAGACAGTATTTATAGGTCTAAAGTTACAATCCCTAACATCTGGATGGAATCATATAAATTGGCCACTTTGTGTATCATTATTTGCATTACAGCTCATGGAAACATGATTACAGCGAACATACCCTGTCAATTTAGATGATGATTGAAAATGTTGTAGTCCGGTTTTTGGCATTAACGGCGGGATATACAATGTGATCTCCTGTGGTTTACAGTGATGTGTTTTCGCCATTAGGGGGCGATGTCCACCCATTGGTTTTTGAATAGTTGTGCCCATGAATGCAGCACGGTGCTTTCCCTGCATCAGATTACATTCAAATACAGTCATGATAAGGGCATCTGTGTTTCTGGCCCGGTGACTAAATCAATTGAGCTGTAGCATATAAAACACTTTGATTTGCTTTTACGTTTGACAACAACCTTGATATCTTCTTCCACTGTTAGCGAAATTAAATCACAATACAAACTGAATATAATCACAATCGAGTCTCACTAATCTTTTTTTAAGCACTGGTGCAAATTAAGGACAATTGAAGTTAATGAATAACAACTTATTTAAGGAAAGATCTTGTTTTGTGATTGAAGCAAAATGTCAAAATGCTTTTTTGTTGAAAGGCATGGGACAATTTACATGTCACGTTAAACAAAATCTTAGTTTAAACACAACATTGTTTGTAGTGACAAATGTGGCATTTGATCAGCAACCCATGGGCCAAATCTAATAATAAAATTAAATCATATAAAATCAAAATGTTGCAACCCCCTCTCTAACATTAACTTGCTACTATGTGACCCATTTTGGGTGAAAAGTAAAAGAGGCAATAGAATATGAAACTATATTTAATAATGTATTGTTATAAAGATTGTACATTAGCGTTATATTATATAATTAAATTTCACAAATATAATACAACACATCAAATCACGACTGCCATTATGTTAACGAGTAAATACAACGTCAATTAGATTAAGCATTAACATATTCCCACTCATTCTAAACTGTAGTTACTAAACACACACGTATTTCTTCTTGTATACTGACATAACGTTAAATAAAACAAAGTAACAACTACATTACAAAGATATACATTATAACTAACTTCAACGTGGTGATTCTACAGTGACTTCCTGTTTACATAGCTGATTGCTTTTGATTGGGCAGCGGTTTCTTAGCAACCGATTTACAATTTTCTGAGGCCTTTCGCTAAAACTTTCTTTAAAAAAAACGCCGTAAATCACTTTAAGTAACGTTAAATCACAACTTTCACTCTACTTTGTAGTTACTAAGAACCTTTAATAGGAAGGACTTGACGTTCAAACTTTATTGGATTTAGAAATACCCGGCGCAGTACAACCATGAACACTAGATGTCGCTGTTGCCACACTTAATAGCTCCAGCTCTTTATCTGCTGAAATAGATATTGACATCTCAATAATCATGAAACCCAATTACAGCCCGAACCAAGCAGCCTAGGAATCGTTATCACCATGGCAACCTAACGGTGTGCAGGTGTATAAAGACGGTGGCCCCCTGGGTCACATTGTTGGTGAAACTCTGGAGCCACGCTGCTGGCATTTAAACCCCGTCTATGATTTACACATTATGGTAGGAAAGTGGAGGAAAAAAAATAAAAAAAAATAAATGAAAATGTAAGACTGGGATGGAGCATGCGCAGCTGACTTCCAAAAACGTTTTTTTCTTTTATAATAGCCCTCTACTTGTATGCACACTTACCATAAAGTGTGCCATTGTTTCCGTAAGTGCAGATCCTCCTGTATAAACTCTTTATTTCCACCATGCGAGGGTCCCTTATAGCCCCGTGACGTCACAGACCTGCAGCCGGTATAAAACGCTCCGTCTGATGCAGCGTCCACAGTAGAGAGAAGCAGCGTCTGTGGGCAGCCTCCTCCATCGGGCCAAATTACAGGCAACAAGAAAAACAAACAACAACAACAACAAAATAATTACAACAAACAAAGAAAAGAATATGTCCAAAATGACGATTGTTCAGCTTGGAGTGCTTGTCTTCGCCATATGTTTATCGACACAGGTAAGTTGATGTTTATTCCTATGAGCCACAGTGTTTTTTTTTTATTTTTTATTTTTGGCTGTACAATTGATTCTGTTAATTAGGACATGGTTAAAATTTATTGTGTACAGGTGGGGGCAGAATTTTCTCCGGATGGGAATTAACAGTGTGGTGATGGGTTATTTGACTTTAATGATGTTTCTAGACGGGGTTTACCCGCTGATAATCGGTGTTGGTGTGGTGGTCTGGATTACAGCAGGCTATACTTGAAGCCCTCCTGGGAAATTAACGTGATCCTGAATTCTAGTCGGTCGATTTCGGAAGTTGGTGTGTCTTTAATTAAACTTCATTACCAGACATAATCTTGTTTTTCACATTTCGTCTTTGCCTCTTGATTAGCGTACACTCCAGCAGAATTAATGATTCAGGTGCAGTGTATTGTCTACCTGTGCAAAGGTGGGGAGAGAATCTAAAGTTTCTTTTCGGTGCAGTGTGCCAAACGAAACCTGACACGCACGCGCAGAAACTTAGGTCTCTCTTATCTTTTTTTTTTTTCAGCTGACAAACCACTCATCCTATGTTGTAGGAAAGTATATATCATTGGTTGGATGAGTCGTTAGAAATAACTGAGTGCTAATAATTTAAAACTTGGTTAACAGTGGTTGACATTTTAATTGATTTCCAGTGTTTTGGAGTTAATTTTTGCCATTTTCCATGATCCCAGTGGGCTTCATTAAGTTTTAGTCCAGCTGATTGCTTGCTTTGCTTTAGTTAAATTGCATTATATCTAAACAAACTGGTATTTCAATCTATTTCCTCATACGACGTCCATGTTCAGCACTGGCAAAAAAACAAGCAGAACAGTGTTGAACTTTCCTCATCCCTATATCCTCCTCCTCCTCTTCTTCGCCCTCCAACAGGTGGTCTCCCAGAACAGCACAGACCCCACAGCGGGGGGAAACTCCACCTCCAACCCCAACGCCACCACCATGGCCACAGGCACCTACAGCAGTTCAGCCAACTCCACCACCCCTACTGGAGCAGGTGTCTCGCTGCACGCAGGCACCTTCTCCTTCGTGATCCCCGTTATCATGGCAGCCTCTGTCCTGCAGCGTTACTGTTGAAGCCTGGACCCCCACAGCACCCCCTTCTTCTCTGCCTCAACACTCCTCACCTCCCATCCAATTAACCCACCCAGTCCAGCCTCACTCCTCTCCCCTT